TGGATATATCTATTAATTGATATTTTTTTTTTATATTCTTCTTTATGATTCAAATGTAGTATATCAGATACACAACAAAAAACTCTAATATTTCATGTTTCGAATCACCCAGTTATCTTCGGGTTATGATATGCCTTTGATGAGATGACATACCACATAACACTAATTGTTTATTATTTATTATGACTGATTATTATGGAGGCATTATCAATAATGATTATTATTTATTGTTATTATTTATTAATGTTTATTATTTATTATGATATAGGATTATTTATTTATTATGATGCATTATATTTATCATTGATACTTTTGATTGAATACATGATGTGTTATCAATAAAGATTATTTAAACAATATTGATGATAAATGAGATAAACTATAATCATAATTAATTCATATTTTTCTTTCTTTTTATTGGAATATATCATGTCAGAAACTCAACACAAAACACTAAAATGAAACTAAAGTTCTATGTCATTTATTATCATTTATCAATGTTTCTTTTAGTAAAAACAAATAGCTGTTGTTTAATTAATAGGATTATTGTCATTCTTCGCATCATTTAAATAATAACATTTATTATTGTGATTGGTATGAAATTTGTATATTTTAATTATTATTTTAAAATTGATGGTGACATGAATTAAGGAATATCATTGATACATTACATATAAATTATTATTATTATTATTATTATTATTATTTTTATTATTTTTATTATTTTTATTATTCAATAAGTTATCATTTTTAAGTCATTTAGTGGTTCTCTTATATTGTTATTCATAAAAATAATTATTAATAGAAACGAGTACTTTAAAATAATAAAATTATTTGATGGTTCGTTTCATGAATAATTATTTTATTGTAATAATTTTAATTATGCAATTATAAACAATTAACACTGTCAATCTATCAAAACAAAATCAACTAATTTATTCTTTTAATAATAAGTAATAACTCGTCATTGTTTCATTCATTTGATATCATTGTATTAAATAATTTTTTGTAATAACCCATTTATTTAAATACTTTTTTTATTAAGAAGTCATTAACTCGAATTAAAAAGTTATAGAAATCATTGGACAAGTATTATCCAATTTATTCATTATTTATGAGAGTTATTATAAATATTCGCATTTCAATTAATGATTGTTATATTATTTTTTATAATATCCTTTCATTCTTTGTTTTTTTTGTATCCTTTTTGTTTCTTCTATTTCATATTTTCTTTATTTCATACTCTTTATTCATATTGGTTTATTCATTGTACTGTGATTGAAGTTATATATATTTTCTTAATCATTGTTGTTGATTACTTATTTTATTTCATAGTCACTGGATATTATTTTTCAACTTTTATTTTTAATTTTTCATATTCTAAAGTTTCATATATTAATATCATTTATATCATTAATTATAATAATTATTATTTTTGGTTTCTTTGTTTATTTATTCTTTTATGTTATAAGAGTATAGAAGATAGTAAAATTATTTAATTGTCATAAATATTTCATTTTATTAATATTTCTTTTAATCTGGTCATATTAATCATTCTATTATTAACATTTTTCATATTGAATATAAATAATTAATGAAATAAATGAATAGATTACAAATAAGTGATAGAACACGAATTGATATGAGATAAATGTTTTAATATTTATTACTATGATCAGTTATTAATGAGTTAATCCCTTCGAATTATAATTTAGTATAATGTAGAGTATTTAGAATGTAATGATAGTTATGTTTTGATTACCTTACAATTTGAAATTATAGGAAGATTTAAATAAGGTATTGAAACAATAATCAAAGATACAAAACTGTTAGTGGTTGGTTTATTCATTTGGCTATATCAGTATGTCAGAAAATAATATATTAAAGAAATTTTAACAAAAAAATTTGATATTTATAAAAATAACATGAGAATGTTCTTGTAATCTTTTTTTTTACAAAACAACAAAAATTCAGTTTAAATATAGATTGAGGAAATATCATAAAAATACCTAATAAGATGAACTAAAAAATAAATAATTGAACTATTTAATGGAAGTCGCGAAATCCTTAAATCATAAAAGAAGAGAAATGAAACAACTTGAAACGGTTTACTTAATGAAAGTAGTGCTTCATGTTAAAGACATGAACGATATTCAAAACATTGAAATGGTTAATAAAAAATGTAGGACTGCAATTAATTCATTGAAAGTTAATCCTTGGTTTACATCAGAAAGAGATGTCAATAAGTTTTGTAAAATATTTAATCCACAAACATGTAATTGTAATTTACTTGATATTGACGCATCAACACTAATGAAAGCTGAAAATCTTAGAAACTATAATTTATGTCATTTGGATGCTTTAATAAAAAGACATACTAAAAACATTCAGCCTGGTCAAGAACAAGCACAAATAAACAAAATAATAAAGTTTATAGCTACTGGTATTCAAAAAATGGAATCTTTAACATGTGTTTCTTTTCTTCCAGAACAACTAATAGAAGTTGTTATTCAAAATATGAAGAAAGGAATTAAAATAAGATGTGACGAGATGTTTGCAGAGCGATTTGATGAAATGTTTGATAAAATGAAAATGGATGAGTCAATGTATCCAAGTGAAATGATAATTCAAGGAAATGTAACTAGAAATTGGATTAAAAATGGGAAGAAGAAAAATGTCATTATTATTTTTGAGTTTTCACTACTTGATAACGTACTTATGGATATACCAAAATGGGTTAAAGTATATTCGTCAGAAATTGTTATTTCCAAATCAAATGACAAAAGAGATGTTATACCTTTTAGTTCACCAATTGATTCATTGTTTTCAAATGTGGTATTACCAAAATTAGAAGAATCAGACAATACTATGCCTGGTGTTAAAGTAACTAAAAACGATATCATGGAAGAAGAAAGTAGAGAAAAGGTCTATAAGATTCTCAATGACTTATACTCTAATGCTATTACGTTTTATTTTACACCAACAGAATTAGTGGAACAAAACCAAAAACGTCTTATACCAATTGAAATACCACAGTTACCAGAATTTGTAAAACATTTTTCCATAAAAGCAATATATTCAAAGTTCATAATTAATAATAAACAATTAGAGTATTTAGAAGTAGATGGACAACAGTCTTCTGTTGAACTTCAATCAACAAGTAATTTGAAGTCTTTGAAACTTAGTCTAATTAATGAAATAAAAATAAAAGAACCGAATGAACAACAAGCAATGTCAAATAATAAAAGAAGATATTGGAAAGAAATAAAAGAAATTGAAAATACATTCCCAAATCTTGAAGAACTTAAACTAGAACGATGTTTTAATTTGGATATAAATATACCATCAAAGAAGTTAAAAAGTATTGAAATGATTGACTCTAGAGAATGTAAAATTAATGTTAAATCAGATTGTATTGAAACATTGAAATTACTAAGAAACAACCAAACACAAATCAAATTATCAACAAATAAATCAACTGATATTAATATTAAAATTTGTTCTATGATTAAGTTAGAGATAGAATCGCAGAATAAGCAAAACATTGAAATAATAGAAGGAAATCAAATTAGTGTAGAGTCAAAATGTCCAATTAATAAATTATTAATAGCACAATCTAAACAAGTGAATATTACAGGAGATGAAAGATGTAATACACTGAAAGTAGTTGATTCTACAATCAAGGAAATTGATATTAAACCAAAAAGGGTTGTATTTAAATTAGTTGAAGAATACATTAAAGTACCACTGAAAGACGCAGAAGAGATATATATTGTGTCAATGAAAGATTATATCTTTGAAGAGTTATTTGATAAATGTAAGAAATTATGTATTGATGAATGTGAAAATTGTCAATTCATAATCAACAAGAATCAAATTAACGAAATGAAAATAACAAACTGTAAAAATACCGAAATTAAAGGAGAGTTAGATAATATTGAAGAAATCATCACAATAGATAATGAAGAATGTAATATTCCAGAAACAAAGAATATTATAAAAGAAGATACAGAAATAATAGAAATAAATAATACAAAAAAAGATATAGAAATAGAAACAGATAAGAAACATATTATAATAAGAAATATTCATGACAGTAATATTAAAATTAAAAGTGATATTAATAGTGATGTTACAATAGAAAATGGTGAAGAAATTATGTTTTATGGAGAGTTTGAACATTATGGAAATGTTCAATTCATTAATTGTCAGAACAGTGCTAACATATTGAATGTTGGATTTGTTAAATCATTATTAATTACCAACTGTGAAAGTATTGATTTTAGTGTCAATAGAATTAAAGGGTTATTAGAAGTTGTTGACAGTTATGTAGGTATTGGGGTATCAACACTGGACAATAGTGTAAACATTGACACAGTACATATTAAAAATTCTGAATTACTTCAATGCATTTATATAATTTGTAAAAAACTAATAATAAATAATAGTGCTGGAATTATAGAACCAGCTATTTCACAATGTCAAGAAGAACTTACATTGAAAAGTATAAAAAATAAAAAGTTTAGATTAACTGAACAATTGAAGAAAATTGAAATGGAAAAATGTAGTAAACTCAATATTGAGAGTGACGTTAAAGGAAAAGAAGTTAAAATGGTCAAATGTCATCAGATGAAGATAGTTGATACTTCAAATTCAATCAACCAAATTGAGTGTAATAATGTTGAAGTAATAACAGAGCAACAAAATGAAATGATGGGAGGATTTAGAATGATGAGAGGATTTGGAGGAGGTAATATGCCAATGGAAAGACCTCTTTGAGGAGACCTAAACTTTGCATAAGGTTAGTTGGTTAATTAAAAATAATTAACAAGAATAACTTGATAAGTTTTTGATGAATTTTATGTTTAAAAACAAAAGAAATGAGCATTAAATAATAAAAACAAATTTATTATTTTCACCTTCAGAATTAATATATTTTGTATTATGTCTTATTGTATTATTCATCTTATTTTATCTTATATTTATTGACTAGTTATTCAAACTGATTATACTATTCTTCCAGAAACCAATTATCTTGTTAATATTCAAGAGTATACTTGTTGTGCTATTTGATATATTGTATTTATTTTATTTTTCATTCATTCATTCTACTTTCTTCTTACACTCTTCTTCTTTATTTATACTAGTTTGTGTTTCTCACCATTTAATTAATCTACAAAACTGATTATGTTTGTGTTAAAAAAGAGAGTAGATAAACAATAAGTTCAATAAAAAGAACCATTTCAAATTGAAAAAAAGAATAAAAAGGATGTAATGAAAGAAAATGTTTAATTGTTAATAAGATTAATTAAACTACAACAAAGTAATACATAGACTCATTTATTAAGAGTAACATGGTTAAAAAGTAGTATAATCAATAAAAGATATTCAAAATAAAAGATTCATTTCGTTTTATTGTTATAAATTATAAATAACTGCTTTTTAACAAGAATATATTTTTAATGAAACGAAAAATGTTTTAAAAAATAAACTTAAAAACAAGAGAAAAAAAAAGCAGAAATGGAAACTATCTTTGATAGTGTTACTATTATTTTAATAGCTATTGGAGTTGGTATTGTAATATACTATGGATATATTCATTTCGCACAAAAGAAAGAAACTACAAATATAAAGCATCAAATCTTTGAAGTAGAAAAAAACAAACGAAGAATTCAACGAGAAATAACAGTACAAAGAAATTATTTAAATCATTTAATGAAACAAGCCAAAAAAACAATAGAAAAAGAGAAGAGAGATGAAGCACAAGGACTAGTACCCTCGAAAGAAATTGCACAAAACATTATTTTTACACGTAGAAATATTAATTCATTTGAGAGAAAAGTTAAAGAAATTGATGAGTTAATAAAAGAGATGAAAAAGGCTAAAAGTAATAAAGACAATGAAGAAAAACTCATAGATATTAATAAAAAATATAAAGAACTTAACAAACAAAGTTATGGTCAAGAGAGTCAAAAAATAATCAATAATTTCAATAACACCAAAAATGAATTAGAAATTAATGAAAATGAAATTGAAGACTTATTAAATGAATTAAATGAAGAATCAAAAACTCATATCAAACAACGTATAATTAATTGATTAAATGTTATTTGAAAGAAACAATAACAATACTATTAAAAAAATCAATCAAAAATATTTTATGTGTTAATTAATTGGTTCTTCTTCTTCCATTTGCATAGTTTCATCTTCACCAATACTTTCTAATTCTTCAAATTTACCATCTTGAATAATACTTAACACTCTTATTTCAAATACAGCCATTTTAATATCAAAATATTCTAATAATCTAGCAGCTTGTGGTGAAAGTTTTTGTCCTTTTCTGCAAACAACATATTCTTCTTTACATGATAATATTCCATCTTTTAATTCAACAGGTAAAAGATTCTTTCTTAAATGAAGTTCAAGTGAACCTTCAAATGGTAATGGTCCTTCAGGAACTACAAAGTCCATTGTAGCAATACTTCCTGAACGTGCAAAATCATCATGGATTTGAGTTTTAAAATAAGCTAAAATTTCTTCTTTCTTTTTATTAGTAAAACACAACCCACATGTACCTTTTAATCTTTCTGCAATAAAATGATATCCTGGTTTAATTTCATCTTGTTCAGTTCTTCCTAATGCAACTTGCATAACTTTATTACTACCAAAGAAAAATATAGAATCTCTCCAATCTTTTCTAATAATATTCATAAACTTTGATCTAAGAACTGGTGTATAAAAAATAAAGACAGTACTATATTTTTGAGCAGCTTCTTGTATATTAGTGATTAATCGATTTTTAATTTCCTTTTTAGCAACTCTTCGTCCTTGTTGTTCTCTTGACATTAAAGAAATTAAATCTTCTTTTCATTTTTTTTTTTGATATTCAAAAAAAAAACCCTATTCTATTTTTAAAATAACAAAAAAAAAATAACAAATAATAAAAAAGTTAAATTAGAATACAAGAAGAAATGTTGAAGTTAATAAACAGAATATAAAGAAAAGTCAGTAACAGGAGTAAAAGCACTTGGGAGTTGTTGATGATACAATTCTTCAGATTTTTCAATTACTTCACTATATTCTTTTACAGAATGTTTTACATGAAAAGTAATATGTTTTTTAAGGTCATGTTTTCTTTTAAAAGCTTTACAACAACCAACAAAAGGACATTGAAATGGTTTTTCATCTGAATGAACTTTTTCATGAACTTTTAGATCAGAATGACGAGCAAAATGTTTATGACAAATAAGACATTCATAAGGTTTTTCACCAGTATGAACTCTCATATGAACATTACAATCATGTTTTCTTAAGAATTTCATACCACAAATATTACATGAAAATGGTTTTTTTCCAGAATGAGTTTGCATATGAACACTAAGACATTTTTTTGTATTAAATGATTTACCACAACCAGGATGTGGACATATTAAATTTCCATGTTTAATTTCTTGAAAACATGAAGTAAAGATGCTATTAACTGTAGATTGAATATCATTACTTTGCATTGAATTATTAATCTGTTCAGTTCTATGTTTTATATTTATTATACAACAGACAGTATTTGATGTCTGTGATTTTGTCTGCTTTATTTTGATTGGTCAATTCTTTGGCTTTGAAGTAGAAAACTTTTTTTAGTATTTCTTGTTTTTGGTTTTAATGAAAAGTTGATAAATGTCTTTTTGTCTGTTCATTTCTCATGTCGTTTATGTCAAAACATTATTTCTTGATTATTTGTTATTTTTCTTCTATTTTTTATTTTTTGCTTGAAATAGAATAAAATAGAACAAAGTGTCTGTGTACTAAAGATTTTGGCTGTTTAAATAACAGAAAGACAATTGATAATTTTGATAATTTTGATATTATTGAAGTTAAATTTATAACTTATGTTTTGTATTATCAACTCCATTGTTTCATTTATTTTATTTAAGATTTTCCTCTAATTCTTTATAAAATCTCATTTCTTGCTTTCCACATTGTTTTACTTTCAGACTATAATTATTACTACTTGTTCTTATGATAAATTCTTTATTAATTAATGTCATTCCGTGTATTTCTTTCATTTTGACTGTGGTAAAACTCTTCAACATTAAAAGCATCTTATCTTCATATTCCATCATTATCCAAGTATCATTTATTCCGTTAACATGACAAATGTATGTCTCTTTTTGTTTCCAAACATCAAATTTATCTATACTTTGATCCTTTCTAATTGAACCATTCTCTTCAATTATTCTCAATTGACCAATTCTTTTTGCACTTTTCTCATCAAACTCAGCAACTGCACCAGTAATTCCTAATTTAACTATTTGAGCAACTGATGAAAATGGTAATATCATCTTTTTCATTGTTCCTTCAAAATTATTGTCACTCTGTTTATTAACAATTTGATACCCCCTTGCTCCTTGTTTGATTCCTTCAATAAAAGACTCTGGTCGATGACCATGAGTAGTAATATCATCACCAAATGCTTGAGAAATTGTTCCTATTGTAACAGTAATTGATGATATCACTCCAAGTGTTCCAGCAGATGTTTTGTTCATAGCATCAGTAAACAAATGTGATTTCAAAGCAGAAGATAAAGAAGATGGGAGATATTGAATAGTAATTGATTAGTGTTTCAAACATAAAGAAGAAACATAAATTTAAATGTCAGAATTTTTAATATTTTTCAAGAAAGAAGAAAGAATGTCTTTAAATAATCTACAGAATTATTATTGTTATGTTATTTGGTTTGTCTTTATTTTTTATTGAAAATAATATAATTACATTTCTTAATTTGTTTTTTTATTATTTGGTTCAATTATTTTTTTTGAGAAATTATTGTATTAAAACACAATATTTTAGGTTTATTATCCTATTTATATATTTTTATTAATACTTTTATACTAAGGTGTTGAAATATTCTTTACATGAAAAAAAGAATTGTATTATAGAGAAATGTATTAAAAGAGTATAAATAAAAAAGAGGTAATTTAATCTTCTTTCTTATCTTCTGGTATTGATGTAGGAATTTCTTTATGACCTTCACAACAATTACATTCACTTTCTGATGTGGTATGGTTGTGGTCATGTTGTTGACAACTACAACAATTTGATGGATGTTCAGGTTCAGCATCAGTAATTGCGAAACAAGAATGTGCACGAATAATTATAACAGCAATTACTAAAGGAAGAAGGAATGGTAAGAAACAATCATTGAAATAAGCAGTAATGGAAGCAGAAATATACCCGATACAAATAGCTATGAAAGAAGGAGGGAATTCTTGAGGAAGGTTTATAGGAATAGAAATATTTAATTTAGTACAGACTTTGTATATGACTATTGGAATAGCTTGCATTAATAAAAGAAGAAGAGTGAAAGGCTTGATTACACTAAAATTATTATGAGCATTATACTTTTAAAAGAATAATAATGAGTCAACAAACATTCCAATAAATACACAAATACCACAAAGCATAACATAAAGAAATCTGAAATTATAAATATTAACTTTTGTTCTTAAATTCATTATAGCAACATCACTGAATATTCCATATTTTGTTTGTTTTAATAAATCTAATTCATAATAAACTTCTTGCATAAAAGAGTTTATTGAAGTTTTAATATCTTCCATTTTGGAATGAATGTTTTTTTTTTGATTTTTTATTTTTTTGATTTAGATTCTCAATAATGAAAAGATTAAACTAAATAATATCGTTTCATTCTTATCACAATTAATGCAAACAATAACTTGGAAACAAGGTCTTGAAGAATTAAAAGGAATGTTCCCAAATATTGACTCAAAATTAATAGAACAAACCTTACGTGATAATGGTGGACATATGGAACAAACGGTTGGTGTCTTGTTAAGTTTCACAGATGATACAATACCTACACAAAATCAAAAGTTTGTCTATTAATTGAATGGTTTTAACGCATCAAGAAATGTAAGTTCATATTATTAGCCATGAAGAATTTATTAGTACAAGCAATGATGATATTAGTGACGAAGAATTAGCTCGACGTATTCAAGAACATGAATTTAATATGTATAAATCATTAGGAGGAAGAAAGGCTATGGATCAATTTTTAAAAGACTTAGAAAACCCAAACCATTCTACTCCCAAACACAATCAAGAAGTTAAATCTTTTTGGAACCAATTAAGTGCTAGTGCACAAAATGTATTTAAAGAAATGTTTAAAACAAAGGGTCAGTATCAGTTTGTTTTACATTATATATTTTAGAATAAAGTCTCTGTATTTCTAATTATTTTAGAGAATTACCTGAAAATGAACCAACTAAAGAAGAGTGTTTGTTTATGATTATTCTTTTTGTTTTGATTTAGTAGTTTTAGAATAAAATGTTTATTGATGTTAGCTAAAAAAGATCGGTAAGATAATATTTCTCTTTTATATTACTTAAATACAATTTATTTTTCACTTCAACATGTTAATTTTTATGTTCTTTCATCAAAAAAGAAAATGAAAAATCTCCAAAAATAAAAAGAAAAAAGAACTTAAAATTATTTTATAATAAAGGGAAAGAGTATGAGTCAAAGGAATCGTACAACACTAAGAGATAACCCAACTAGTTCAAAGAAGTTAATGTCAAAAATAGAAGAGAAAGAGGATATTGGATTTTTTGTAGGAAGTGATTATACAAATTTTATTAAATCAAGATTTAAGACAGAAGAAGCCATTTGTTGTGTATTTGCATTAAAAGAAAAAGTAATAGTAGGTTCAACAGTAGGAAGAGTTTATTTTTTTAATAAAGGGGAAGAGGATATTGGAGGAGAAGGTATTTTTAATTCAACACCAGTTCTTGGATTTGCATTAGACTCACGTGGACATGTTTTAGTTATTCAAGAGAATAATATTCATGGAATTGATCCAAATGATGGAAGAATAGAAATGAATTTAGTTTCATTTACAGACGAACAAGTTACAAATACAACATTTGATCAACAAAATCCATTACAGTATTGTTGTGTTATTAAACATTTAAAAACTAAACAAATTACTTTAAAAATTACATTAATTAGAAGTCCAGGAGAACGACCAATTATATTAACTGATAGTTTACAAAGAAGTTATATTAATCAAATGAAATGGATTGGAAATACTATTGTAATTGTTATGTCAAATAGGAGTGGAGATGGAATGAATAGAGATATCATTGTTTATTTTTATGATATTAATGCTAGACAACATTCAATTATACCTTTTAATAATATTGAAGTTAAAAGTAGTACTTCTTGTTGTGTTTCACCATTAAATAAAGAAGTTATGGTTTTAACATGGGGAAATTTAAAAGGAGAATTTCGTGCAGTTCCTGGATATGATGTTTCAACTCCAAAAACTTTTAATGCACCAACAGCATTTTTTGTTCCACGAGGAGTTAATGAAATTTATAGTCTTGGGTTATTAAATGATAAAATGGTAGGATTTGTAAATTGTAAAGATCAAGGAGCAAAATATGGACTTAAAGTTCTTGTAAGTAATGATGAACGAGATAAAAAAGCAACATTTTCATTAATGCCAAAAGAAGATATTAGTGAATATTTTGAATTATATTCAGATAGAACAGAAGAAGAAGAATATCTTTGGTTATTAACAGAAAGAAAATTTATGAAAGTTAAAATGTTACAAGATAGAGATATTATTGATATATGGAAAGAACAAAAAAGATATGATTTAATTCTTGAAAGAGTTATTAAAAAAGATATGGATATTGATAAAGAAGAATTAATTGAGTATTGGCAAGATTTAATCTTATCAGTTATGGATGGAGCAGTAACTGAAGTAGAAGAACCATATACCTTAATGGAAGAATATTTAGAATCAGATTTAATGGAATTAGAAGATTTCTTAGAAATTACTCAAAACTTTCATATTGAACCAAAGGAATTTAGAGAAAAGGATAGTAAAGAAGCAAGAGAATATGAAAAATTAAAAGTCCAAATGAAAGATAGTTTGAATAAAACATTATTATTCTTTACTAATTATACTATTTTCTCATTAAAAAAGAATGAACAAAGATATTATGAATTAATTAGTACATACAATATATTTTACAATAATAAAGATAGAAATTATGCATATGAAGATGCATATAATACATTAGTTGCATACGCTAAATTAAAAGAAACAATTCAAAGAGTAAAAAGTGTAGATAAATATGATAAAATTCCACAAGATGAATTGTTAGGATTAATGAGAAAAGAATTAAATAAATATAAAACATTACTTCTTTATCCAAATTTACCAACAAACTTTCAAGAAATTATATCAAATAATACTATCGGGTCAAAATTTGATGGAAGAAATGAAGATAGAATTCGATTTCAAAAATTTAATATGCATTATAAAATAGAAAATTGTATGTTTGAAGAAGCACAAAATTTAATTTTTAAGTTAAAAGACCCAAATTTATTTAAAATGTTTTTAGAAAAGCTTCAATCAATTTATGACTTACATATGCAAAATATTATTGAAAAAGAAAAACAAGAAATAGAAACTAAAAAAGTATTTGAAAAAGAAGGATATAACCTTAAAAATCTTAGTGATGTTTATGTAAATGAAGTAGAAGAAGTTATGAAAAAAGCAGAGTCAAATCCATTATTACAATTTAGATTATATCAATTATTATTTAAATTATTAAGTGAAAAAAAATATCCTATTGATAATTATGAATCTAGAGTAGGTGGTGGTATTCCTAAATTATTATTTGAAGCTACAAAAGGAAGTAAAAATACTCATGAAATGCAACAAATTGTTATTGCTTTTATTTATTCTACAATTAATGATTATAATAATTTATTTGACTTTAGAAAAAATGAAAAAGCTGTTGAATTAATTACAAGTGTTATGGAAATTGTTAATTCTTTAGAAGTCTCTATTTCTCGTGAAGTTTTAAAAGCTCAAAATTATGGAAATAAAAAGTGGATTATTACTTTATTATATGAATTGTCAGTTTATAAAGATCAATTATTAAATGTATTAGATGAAGACGAAACAATGGAAACTTTTGCTCAACCTGTTTGTGATGGTTTAAGAAATGCTTCTCTAAGATATGAAGCTTTATTATCTGCTCAACACATTGCTCATCAACAACAATTTGATTATGTCAATAGTATTATTGACTATTCTAAACAAGGAATAATAGTAGAAGAAGTCGAAGGAAAATGTTGTAGTTGTAATAGAACTGTTGTAAAAAGAACTATATTTAAATGTGGTCATTGTATGTGTGATCAGTGTTTGGAAAAACTTACCACTAAAGGAACAAATATTGAATGTTCTGTTTGTAAGAGTCAAAGATTAACAGACCAACAACAAAAATCTCTTTCTTTTATTCAAACTCCTCGTCATAAAAAGAAGTAATTTATTATTTCATTTATTTCTTTATTATAAATTCAGTTAATTTAAAAAGAATAATTAATACGTAAGAAATATATTTACGATTGTATTATTTTCAAGTGCTAAGTTGTTTATTTCTCTATTTATGTTAGTTGTTACAAAAATTATTTTTCAAAAGTTTTATGAAATATAACATTCAATTTATTAGTTAGTATTATTCATTGTTTGTTCAAACTATTTTATTCAACAGATGATAAATATATATTCTTTGTACTGTGTTACTATGGTTATTATTTTACTTTTCTTTCAATTTCTACCAATATGCTTTTTGTTTATTGTTTTATACAATATTTCTATAAATAAAACTACAAACTTATTTTGAAAATATGATAAACTTTATTCTAAAAAAAATTCTAATTGGTGTTTAAATTTATTTTTTTTCATTCAATAATGGATTATGACATACTTTTATTTAAAAGTTTTATGACAAATAACGTAATGTATTAAGAATTTGAATTTATTCTACGGTAAAATAAGAAACAAGAAAGAATAATAATAAAAGAAAAAGAAAGAAAGAAAAGAGAATGATAAAGAGAAAGAGTGTCAATATTAATAGATGAAAGATGAAGAAATGTAAAGATAATAAAGGAATAAAAAAAGAATAAAAAAAAAATAAAGATAAAGAAATGATAGAAGAAGGAAATAAATAGGAAGAGAAGTTCAAAAATGATAATTGAATAAAGTTGAAGATTATATGAAAATAAAAAGGAGATTAAAGATATAGAATATAAGTATTAAAAATATAAGAAATAAATATGATAGTTTTTAATATAAATGAAGAAATGAGAGATGTTTTATAAATTTATGAGATAATGATTGAATAAAAATGAATAAAGTAGAAATGGTAAATCAAATGATAGTGGTAATGAAGGAATATAAAGTCACAAAAGATGAAGAAAGGAAATAATCAAGGAAATGAATATTGAAAATGATAAGAATATTCAAAACAAAAGAAACAACATAATAGTAATATATTGACAACATATGTAATAATTGATTTTCATAATAATTCTAATTAATGATAATAAGATGAAATATGTTCAATGATGTTAATAATCATTAAAGTTATCAAATAGTATAATACTTAATTATCATAACAAAAATAAAAAATTAAGACAAAAGAAGAAATAAATTAAGAGAGATGAACAAATAAAAACATAAACAATTAACATAATATTCTTTATTGTTTCATCTAAGAAATTAAGAATATTTGAATTGAATATTATTTTATTCATTGTTTAATATATATTTATATATTTAAGACTATTATAATGATTATTAAGAAATTTTTATATTTCAACAATCTAATTTTGATGTTATTTTATTTTTGATGATAATGATATATAAGTGTTATGAGATATGAAAAAAAAACACAAAATGGAAATGATTTTAAGAAAGTGGAAAGTATTAATTATGAGAAAATGAATCATTTAACATAATTTGAAGGGAAAAATCCAATATTTCCTTGACATTCTCCTTGCCACCAATCACCTTTTTTATTAAGAATTTTAATTTTATCTCCTTCTTTAAGTGAAAGTTCTGTTTCATTTTCTGCTGAATATGCAAATTGACAAACTACAACTTCTTCATGTTCTTCTTCTTTCTTCATTGATTCTTGTATCACATTTTCTATATTTTCATATTTATATTCTTTTATTTCATTATTATGTTGTTTAGTTTCATTAATCATTGATTGATCATTTGGAGTATATGTTGGTTGTGTATTAATATCTCCTGTATTCATGTTTCTAAGCATTTCTGGAACTTTATCCCATGATAAATTTAAACAATTAATATATTCTGTAAATCCTAATATAATAGAACTTTCAATTTTTTCATTTATCTCATTTATTCTTTCATTCAATTTACTAATATCATTAATTATTTCATTTCTTATTAATATATATGTTTCTTTAGATGCTTTATATTTTGCTTCAGCTTCTTTCTTTCCATTTTGTTTCTTTTGTCCTTTCTTTTTAATTTGTTCTAATTTTTCAAAATGTCTATCCATATCTATCTTTCGATTTTTCATTATATTTATTCTTTTATAATAAACTTTCCATTCTTCAATAAATATTTTCATAGGTTCTATAACTTGACAATATATTATTTCTTTAATATGTTTTCCTCCTTCTTCCATTGAAGAAAATACATTAATCATTCTCTCACTTTCTTCTTTAGCTTTGCTTTTCTCCCCTGAACAATCGTGTAAAATAAGAAATACTTCTTTTGGAATTCTAATTAATTTCTCAGCACTTGTTGTAATTTTACTTACTCGTTCAATTATTTCTTTCATTTTCTTTTCTTTCTCAATTATTTCTTTATTAATGTTTTGAAATTCTTTATCTTCACTTTTCTTACTGATTCCAACACTCGTTTTAATTTGAAATATCCCTCTTTTAATATTCATATTTCTTCTCTTTTCTTATTATCTTTATATCTTCTTACCTTTTCATATTCACTTCTCATTAATCTTTTCAGATATTTGATTTTCTGTTTGTTCTCCTTTCTACTTTTTACTCTTTTTTCCTGTGTTTCTTTTATCTTTGTTTTTCTTTGATTTTTCTTACTCTTACTTTGATTATTATCTTTCTTTATTTATTATTTTTTTATTGTGAATGATTATTATTATTATAAATAAGAAAGATTAATAAGAAAGATTAATAAGAAAGAAAAACATATATATTTGCTTTATTTAATGTTAAATTGGATTTATAAATGGAGATTATATCTCATTTTCCTTTTTATCTCTTCATATCTTCAAAATTTAAAAAAAAAACTTAAAAGAAAACACAGAAATTAGGATGTGTGATTGTCCCACTATTAATGGAAATAACGCAATACAATCATTTGTGTATCAAAATTTATTTCGAGTTTGTTTATACTCTTTCTTGGATGAAATATCAATTTGGGCAAGTTATATAAAATTGGTATTAAACATTCTATTAATTGGTAATTCATTGTTGAAACTATTTAATCAACAACATGTTAAAATTGTACATTCATTCGCAATATTTTTCTTTGTAATCTTAGGTTTGTTATTCAATTTCTTTGATTATTATAAGATATAAAATAACTGATATGAATTGTCTAGATTTTCATGGTATAATTTATAGTATTTCCAATGGATTTTTTGCAACACAAACACTGACTTGCATTCTTAATTTCGTCTCTACTATATCATACTATGCTATTGTCATCACAAAAACTAGAACCAACCAATGGCGTCATTTATTCTTTTCCTTCTTTCTTTGCTTTTTGATATGGTGGTACTCTTCTCCTTCTCTTAAATCATGCTTTGTTAGGAATCTCCCATCTTCCTTTTTCTCTTCTATTTATGTCATCATCGGTGCTATCTTCTTTAACATAAGATCTTTATTTGATCTTCTTATTTGGCTTGCTACTACTAACTTAAATAATACCTCATTTTCCTTTTTATCTCTTCATCTCTTCCTTTATCTCCTTAAATTCTTTGCTGTCATTTTTTATGGTGCTCATCCATCTTCAATGTTATGGTATTGTCTATTATTTATTTATGTTTCAGGAGCATTTCTTCCATTAGTAATATTCTTGATTATGTTTTTACGAAAGCTTCTTTGTTACTCTAGAACTAAGAAAAGTCATAGATATGAAAATATCACAAGAAATGAAGAGGATTGCCATGGAGATAAATTTAAAAACTATTAAAAATTTTTTTTGTTTTTGTTGGAAGTTTAAAAGAACTTATTATTTCTTTTATGACTATTAAATCTTGTTTAGTTTTTGGTTATCAAAATATTTGTCTTAAAAGTCAATTAATTTTCTTCATCTTCTTCTTTTATTGCCAATCCAAATTTTTTTCCCCACTCAAAACACTCTTCTAATTTTTCCTGTCCTGGTTGGAGACGACAAGACAATGGCTCAACTGGTTGTTTTGCTTTTAGTTGTTGAAGTCTTGCTGAAAGATTCCCAACACCTTCTCCACTCCATCCGTGTGAACCAAAACATTGAATAAATCTTTGGCAATGAATATAAGGATTTAAATTACATGCTATTGTTAATATTGGGGGAAGAGCATCTCCAACAATTGTTGGCGTCCCAAGTAATAAACCTTTACAGTCACTGAAATCTTTTAAGACATTTTCAACACTAGTATTTTCTACATTATGCATGGACACCTCAACACCAACAGATTTAATTCCAGCAGCAATTGTATTTGCCATAGTTTCTGTATATCCATAAACTGACCCATAGGCAATAACAACTTTATTTTTTAATGGTGGTGGTTGAGCCCATTGACGCCAAAGTTCAACACGTTCTGGTATATAACCACGTATTATTGGACCATGACTACAACAAATAGCTTTACAGTTTTTTAAATCGAATCCAGGTTGATTTTCAAGGGTTTGAATGCCTTTTAAAACAAATCGTTTAAAAGGACCAAAGACTGAGTTAAAATAGTCATAACTTATTTGAAGATATTGATCTTTTCTATCAACAATTAAATCATCAAACATTCGTTCATCAGCAAAATGAGTACTAAACATATCACATGTAACTAAAACATTCATTTCTTCTATTAACGTGATCATTGTATCAGGCCAATGTAAAAATGGTTGATAAATAAACTTAAGATGAATATCACCCAGATTTAGTTGTTTAGTTTTAACACTATTAATTGTTTTTGTATCATCTCTAATATGACCAATAAATTGTATATTATTTAAAGCAGCAGTAGAGGCTATTACTGTTGCGTTAGGATATCTTTTAAGTATAGGACTTAATGAACCACTATGATCAGGTTCACTGTGGTCTACTATGATATAATCAATACAGTCTTCTTTACCAATAACTTGTTCTATTTTATCTAAACACTCATTTGCAAATTCTTGCTTCACTGTTTCAAATAAAACGTTTCCTTCTTGGGTTTGAAGAAGGTATGAATTGTAAGTAGACCCATAAGGTGCAGGATATAATACATCATAATTCTTTAGTTCATAATCCATTACACCAACCCAATACAAACCAGGAAGTACTTCTAACACTTTACTTGTCATTTAATGTTTGTTAGTTCTTATGTTCTTTTTTCATTAAGAACAGCTCAGGTGGAGAAAACAAATGAAATGATTTTCTCGTTTCCTTTTTGGTAGTTTTTAGGGTAGTTCAATTTACGATATTTCTATACTTTTAACTTACATAAATAGTTTCCTTTTCATTTTAATTCTCAAAATTTAATAAATAAATAAAGAATATCTCTCAAATACCGATAAAATAAATACTAAATTACAGTACTATGATTTTGAGTTATGAATGAATTACATTGATTAAATGAAAAAAGTTATTGAACATTTATTATAAATTTGGAGTTTTTTTTACTTATTTTAATTCTTTGTTTTCTGAAAAGAGCGTTGAATGATTTAAAAATTAAATATCTTTATTTTATAACCATTCAATGAACGAAACACAATTTATTTTTGATAGAATTAATAAAAATATCTAAGAAATATTTTTTAATCATTTAGAGTAAGTTTAATTTATCAACATAAATAAGCCTCATTAAAAATATGAATTACCCAGCTATTTCCTATTAAAGTAATCATTTTTTTAGAGTGTCATATCACTTGAATATTAATTTAATAATAAATAATGAGGTTATTTTATTGAGAAAATTAATTACCCCCATTTGTATGAATATTCTATTTTCATTACGTTATATTTTGAAATACTCTCTTTTCATAAAATTAGAAGTGTTAATTCTATCTTTCATTAATGAAGTAAATTATCCTTTGTTTAGTTCTCAATAATTAATACAAAAAATATTATTTATTGTTAGAGTAACTGTCAGTAAAGAAAGAATAAAATTAATGATATAATTACAAATACTGAAAAGTGAATAGAACCAAAGACTGCTTTGTTTGTTGTTTATTTTTGTTTTATGTCAAAGTACCAATAGAATATTTTATATATTAAACTTGTTATTATTAGTCTCTGTTCAATGTGGTTATTCTTTGTTTTGCACTTCATTTCTTTTATAAAGAAATAACATCCATTACTTTTTATTAGTAAGAAATAATCTAACTCTATCATATTCAAGTACTTTTTCTTTATTTCTTAAATAGAATAACTATCAACCACTTTATTGATTAAAAATAAAACCTCAATATTAATTCTCTCATTCTATTAATTAAATAATGAAAGTTTTATTGAACAACTTTTCATTAATTGTACTATGCTTCTACACTAAAAAAAATGATATACTAATTGAATTATTATTAATTCATTTTCAAAGACGATATATAATGTATTTTCTAATATATTTATAGTAATAAAGTTCAAAACCTAATTGTCTAGAGCAATAAAATAAAATTATCATTAACATGATTTATAATGAGTTGTACTTTTCTGATTGATAAGATAGTTTATTATTCTTCAATTAAGTTTGTTCATTAAACTTAATAATTTGTAGTAAAGTATTTTTCATCCACGTATCAAGACATTACATATAATTGCAAAAAAAGAACCAATTAATGGAAAGAAATAAATACCTCTAATTATCATGTAAAAGTAGTCTGCTACATTAATTATTTTTCATGTCTTTTTTTAACTATATCGAAACTATCATTTCAGTGGTTCGTTTCAATAATGTTTTAATAATAATAAAGCTGTTATTGGTAATTTTTTAAATAACCAAATACTTTCTTATAATTTTATTTTGTTCTTACTTTATCTTACAATAAATAGCATATATCAGCATGTGCCTTTTATTGTAAATAATAAAAAATGGATATTTAAACAATATCAATATTAATCAAAATTTAAAAGAGTGTTAATTATATGAGTTATATTCTCTTCTTTCTCTATATATAAAAAATAGACTATTAATAAATGAATAAAATAGAGTAAACTAAATACTTTAAAAAACGAATAGCATTAATAAAAGAAGCTACTAAAGAATTAATTAATTTAAGCAAAGATTGGAATAAACTTTTGTTTTTTTGCATGCATCAAAGAAGCACCAGTTGATTGCTTTTCATTTACACAATCTTGAGCCTTTAAACCTTTGTAATAACCATCAACATTACATTCATTATAAGCTGACCCACAATATGCTTTAACGTTATCATCATCAACTTCATAACACATTTCTTTAAATGCATATCTATTATAATCCCAACTAATTTGATGTTCATTACAATACCACCAATTACTACAGTCACTAGGTACATAATATTCTGCAATAAAAGCCTTAACATAAGGTTTATGTCTTGAGTCAGTGAAAGGATAATCATATATATAAACAAATCTTTGATTATTAGTACTTTCTAATAAAGGTTCTTTTCTTCTCCAAATAATTAAAGGATTTCCAAATTTAGTATTATAAAGCATATCCATAACTCTATTTGGATATGAATATAAACAAATCATTTGATA